CCGCAGCGTGTCAGTGTGTCTCAGCCTGTGTGGGGGCGGCTGTGTGGGGGCGGAGGGCTGCGGCATGCACCAGAACATGTGCGTGCCTGCCGCTCTGATGGCTTGGAGGGGGAGGGAGGAAAGGCTGTCCCCTCCCCTGTCCCTACCACCCCCTCCTTGAGGACCTGCACCCCAGCTTCCCATCCTTGGCCGCTGGCCCCTGCGCATCATCTGGTCCCCTACCCTGCCTTTGCCACGGCCTCTCCCTGTGGCCTTAGGCAAACTATTTCTCTCTGGCTGTTGGCTCACCATCTATGCTATGAGCAGACAGCGTCGCTGGTCCTTCCAGTCCTGATGTTCCAGGAGTCTGAAATTTCCCATGTGTGCCTTCCACAGACGGAGGTTGAAGAGGGGAGCAACTCTAATGGGGCATTCCAGCATCTGCAGAGGTATTCTGATCCCCATTTTACAGATTGTAAAGTTGAGGTACACAAACAACAAGGGATCCACTCAGGGTGGCCCAGAGAATTAGAGGCAGAATCATGATTGGAAAATCAGCAACAGCTCAGAGTTCCCTCACCCACAAGGCCACCGCCCCTGCTCCCTACACACAGCACCAGGGGTGGTCCCTCTCCTCATCCTTCCCTCCATGTGCTGGAGACCTGCACGCTGGTCTAAAGGCTGCCACCATCCCCCTGAGCCAGTCAAGCCTCCTCAAATCTCAGTCTTCTCATCTGTAAGATGGATGAGTAAGCCCTCTACGTGCCTCAGAGATGAGCTAATGGATGGACAAGTGCCTGCTGGCCCCAAAGTGCTGTGAATGTGAGAGGTTGTTAGAAGCAAAATAAAAGCACAACCCTCGTCTCTGGGTGGTACATCGATGTCCAATATCTCTCTCTCCAGTGTTACACCATTGATCCTCCTAACAGCTCTGCCAGGGAATGGCGGGAGTGCTAAACACATTTTGCAGATGGTAGAGCTTGCATCCAAGAGGGAACCTAAGCACACAGGACCCTGGACTCCCCAGTGCAGGGAGCTACCTCTGGGCCCCAGTGTCCCCCACTGATCAGTCCAGCTCAAGCCCAGTTCATGATACAAATCCATGGAGGTAAGAGGGGGCGGGGGGCTCCGGAGCCAGCTCTCTTCTCTCCCTGTGCCAACCTTGCTGGCCCCTGGAGCCCCTCCCCCAGCCCCAACACCACCCTTGAGTCAATTTCAGATGCCTGTTTCTAGAAAGAAAAGAGTGGGTTGTGCTCTCTCCAGTCTCTCCCTCCCTGCCTCTCCCTCTCTCAAGTAAAATCTCCTCTGGAGGCTTTTCTGTACAGCCCAGTGATTACACAGGCTGCAGGGCGATCCTCTGCCGCCCTAACCTCTCCTGGGAGTGGGACTCAGAGCCCAGAGAACGTCTAAGGCTGGGGGAGCGTCCTCCCTTTCCACCTCCTGGAACCTGACCCCTTCGCCCACCCTGGTCTTCAGAAAAGGCCGGGTCTGCCCGGAGCTCTGGCCCCGGTGCCCAGGTCCCCCCTGACCCTGGAGCTGGTGTCATTGCATCCTGCTTCTGAACAAGCTGCTCTGCCCCCAAGGTCTGGGCTTTCATTCCTCTCCTTCCCTGGGAGGAAGGAGGATCCGGGTCAAGGGAGGAGAGAGTGCGCTAGTCTCTGGGTCTCCAGAGACAGCCCCACACCAACCCTCTAGGGGACCTGGAATCAAGTTCCTGGCTTATCTGAATTATATGCTGCAGTGGGCCCTTCATCCAATAGCATCAAGAGGCCCCAGAAGCCCCTGCCCAGGGCCCCCACTCCAGCCTACACCTCCCATGCTGGCTGACCAGGCGGGAGAGGGGCAGCTTCTCTTTCATCCCTAGCCAGCTCTACCCCAGGCTCCTCGAAGACCTGCAGTCACAAGCCAGGCCTCACTGGGCAGGTCGCCAGGAAGCCCTCTAGAGGCACATGCCCTTCTCCCCCACTGGGCAGCCCAGGGCCCTGCAGAAGGCAGTCCAAAGGCTCCCATGTCCCCTTGTAGGGCCAACCCAGCTGCTTCTGCCAGAGATCTGAAGTGGGCTCCTGGAACGGGGACTCAGCTTCTGGCTGGTGCTGCAGCGTCCCGGCTGGCAGGGATGGTGGGTCGCCAATGGAAAGATGGGCCCTCAGGCATCTTTGTTGCCTCTCTCGACAGAAGAGGAGCTATTGATTCCCTGCCAGCCCGGGGGTGGGGGGCAAGGCTTGGTCAGCCCCTCCCCCAAGCTGGGCAAACTCCAGGCAAAAGGTAAACTCGTGGCAGGGCCCAGCCCCAGCCCCAGCCCACCCAGCCTTTGAGGGCAACGGTGATCCCACGGCCGTCCCTTATTGAAGACCCACTGTATGCCAGGCTTGTCACTGCGTCTTCACGTGCACCATCTCATTTTATCCTCACAGCCCTTTTTTATCTCCAGATTACAGGTAGGGGGAAGAGGTGCCGTAGCCTGCCCAGCGTCACAGAGCCATGGATGGTGAGGTCCAGAGCCCGTGCCCCGTGCTGGGCGCTGCCCCTACCTGCCCCACTGGGCCCTTGGACTGTAGCTGCCGTGCTGTACTCCCCTCCTCAGTGACGTACCCCGGCCTTCTCAACCCAGGCATCAGAGGTGTGGAACCTCATCCCCTTTTTCCCAATCTAAGCATCCTTAATCTCGGCCCATCCATAGCCTTCCGATGTCCTGCAAGCTCCTGACACTGCGTGCAACGTTTTGTAGGTTTGCACACTTCTCTGGGCAATGCAGACTTAGCCTTTCATCAGATTCCTGGAGGGATATGTGACCTAAAAAATGTTAACAGCACCAATCATTCCGGAAGGAAGAGGTCCGAAATTGATTAGACAAGGCCTAGCCATGCCTGCCACCCTTGGTTTTCCTGCCGTGGCCACACCAGGGCTCCCCGTCCCCAGAAATTCTGCCCCTGCCCCAGTCCCTGCCAGGCACCCTGGCAGGCACTGGGGCTGAGAAGGCTCACGAAAGCTCTCTCTACCAAGTCGCCCCCACAGCACCCAGTCTTAATGATATCCATCTCCTCTTGGGGCAAAATATCACTTTTATTTTCACTTTGAGGGCCTGAGTCACATCTCAACTCCATTTCCCTGCACTCTGTGACGCAGTCCTGCCAGAGCTCAGCCTTGGTCGCTCCCTGAAAGGCAGCTCCCAGCTCGTCAGGGAATCCTCGGCTCCGGTGGGCACCGGACACCGGCTGAGAACGGGTCCCTACATGAGTTGAGCAGACAGCCCCCGTCCTCCAGAGCAGCCCTAAATATTTTGTTCCTGCTGTCCCCCCCGCCCTCAGCACAAAAATATACTCAGAAAGACCAGGAAGTCTGCAGACGAGTGAGCACACATCTGCACATGGATGTGTGTCTGTACAAGGGAACTAGTGTGTGCCTGTAGGTGTCAGGATAGCCTGGTGTGCAAGTGCGTGTGTGTGTGTGTGTGTGTGTGCAGGCAGCCTACTTGTACACAGCCACAGGCCCACCTCCCACACATATGCAGACACCAGCATGAGCTCCACATGCCTACAGCACCCACACTCCCACCCGAGCTTGGGGGCCCAGGCCCCACATGCACACACACAAATCTTCCTGTGTGCATGCCCCCAGTCCTCACAGATGTGCGTATCCAGACCTCACAGGACACCACCGTGTCCAAGTCCCACAGAGATATATGTGCATCCTCATACAGACATATATTTGCACACACCCAGACCTCACACACGTTTGCCAGCTGATGTGCACACAGCTCCGAACTGCCATACATGTGCACACACTGTGACACATGTTTACACCTTCACTCCCATGCAAATTAGCCAACAGCACCCCTTGTGCCACTCACACACATCCACCCTTGCAGGGCACACTTGCATTTTCAGGCCTTACACATGAAGCACACACCAGCACCTCCTCGTGGTGCACACACATGAACACTTACACACCTTTTCAGTGCACACAAGTGTACCCGAGTCAGTCCTTATACAACAATACACATCAAAATGCACACTTGTGTGTGCACATCCAGACCTCACACCAGCACATACCTACTTACAGGGCCCCTCTTCCCTGCACTCCTGCTGCTACAGCAGGGACCACCCAGGCCACTGAAGCTGCTCTGCCCACAGGGCAAACTCTGCCTGGAAACTGTACCCCTACACTGGATCCAGCCAGAATCCTCCACGCACCTCGGTGGGGGCATCCACGAACGCTTCCCTGACACTCCACAGCCGACTGGGCTACCCCAAGGGGCTCCCCTCTCCCCCATCCTCCCACCCTTCTCTCCACACCAGTCATTGGAGGCAGGAAATGAGCTCTGGGGCTGGACAACTTGGCCAAGGGACCAGAGCTGGTGCATCCTCACGCCACTAGCCCCTGCACCAGCAGTGCCCCCTCCAACTAGCCCGATTGCCCCTCCCCTCCTCCACACGCCCAGGAAGCCTCATCAGTCGCTCAGTTATTAACCCCTGCTGTACTGATGCCCTCACTTCCAGAGGAGCTGGGAGGAGGAGGAGGGAGGGAAGGGGACGTGCGTACAGGGAGAGTTGGCCACTCTGCGCAGCCGCTGCAGGTGTCTAAAGTCAGGAAGGACTACCTGGGAGGTAGTGAACTCTGTCACCAGACATATCCAAGTTGAGGCCAGATGGCCACCTCAAGAGAAACTCAACAGGGGATTCCAGCCTTGGACTCAGCTGATTGGGAAGATCTCTTTTTAACCCTGAGTTTCTAAGAATCCGTGTGTGCCCAGGTGATGTGCACTCATGTGTGTGTGCATGAGCACACTGACATGCATTGTCAACCCTTTGCCCCTATATACACATGCCTGGCTGGCCTCGGCACATTGGTGCACCCGCAAACATGCCCACACCCGGCACTGGGCACCCCGCACATGCAAGTGCCCCCAAACACACGCAGCCTTCCTCCCTGTGTGTGCACAGGAAGCATTGCAGGTGCACACTCCCCGCTCATGACGCTGACCCCCTGCACCCTCTGGGACTCTCTGAGGTGCAACTCACTTTCCCAGTTCCTCGAAGAGCTGGTACTCTTCCGTGAAGCGGGTGCAGGTGATGGTGGCCATCCCGGCGCTGGGAGGGCAGGCGAGGCTCGGGGCTGGAGGACCAGGACTGGGTCGCTGCTGCTCTGCTCCCGGAACTAGGGGCCACTCGCCTGCCCCTGCTGCCGAGTGCAAACTGAGAACCAGCTTGACTGACGAGCCCGGGGCTTCTGAGCAGGGCACTGTGGCTGCTCACAGCCTCGCGAGCCTTCGTCAGCATCCAGGTCCCCATGGCAACCACCTCCGAAACGCCCTGTTCCCGTTGCCCCGGTAACTGCCTCCCCAACACCTGCCTGCCTTCCACTGCGAAACCTGCTCCTGGACGCCCTGGCCCTACTGCACACAATACTGCAGACCTGTGTGGGTCCGGGGGTGGGTGGACCCAGCTGCCCCAAGGTGATGGACCAAGGGAGGGGCTGGAGGAGGGGGAGGAGAACAAACTTAGTCCACAAGTGATCTTCTCTCTCCCCACCTCCCCCACCTCCAACTGTGGGGCCCTTGTAGCAGACAGGATGGGATTAAGTGGGGCAAAAAGGCAGTTGCCATGGTAACAGCCAGTGGCTGCCACATTCTGGGATGGTCCCCAGAAAAGACAGGATGCAGTTACCCTGGCAACTTCTTCTCCTCTGGAGAGACAGGTATTGCCCCGTTGCCCTGACAACAGCTGGGTTCTAAGGTTTACAGGGAACCTATAGCTAATTCATTGGGATCTCTCTCTCTAAGTGGATCACTGTAGTCTCTGTAACTGTCTCTCTGCTCCTCTCCGTATGTTTTTGTTTTTGTTTTTTTTTTGCCTCCACCTCTGTCTTTATTTTGCTCTCTCTCTGCTCTTTGCCATCTTGTCCATCACACTGGCACTCTAGCTTGGGGGAGAAGTGCAGAGGAGACACCAGGATTCTGCAGGGAACAGCCCAGGCTGCCCGCCCACCCCCACCCCTCACGGCTGTGACAGTTGGTGGCCTCCTGGGGCCTCTTCCGTAACCTCGCCCCCACCCCAGGCCTCCAGAGGGACCAGGGAGATGTGGTCTCCTGTGGCTCATGTCCCAGTTTCTGCTTGTGCTTCGAGTCAAGGTGAAAGAGCTGGAGGCGGCCGTGGGGAGGGAAGCACGGCCTGGCATGGAGGGGCGTGGCCACAGACCTGCCCTGAAATCCGCATTCCCAAATTTTGTGGACACTTTCCCTGCCAACTTCAACTCTTCAGGGCAGCTGCCATATCTATGGCCCCAAGATCTCACTCCAAGGCCTGAACGGTTGAGAAGGAGAAGGACTGGAGTTTAAGGATCCGAGTTCAATTCTAGCTCTGACATTTTTTAGCTGTGTGACCCTGGGAAAGTCACTGCCCTTCTCTGAGCTTCCAGCTCCTTTTCTACAAAACAGAACAAAGCTGCCGCTGCAGAGGAAGGCTGTGAAGATAGAGTGGGCTAAGGGCTGTGGAGGCCTTTGGGAAGTACGTAAACACAGGCCTCTTTTTCGTTTCTAGAAGAGGAAAAGGAAAGTCTAAAGGGGGACGATGACCACCTCCATCACTCCAGCATGGACTTAGAATCTCAGACCCTTCACACCCACCGCCTCCACTCAAGCTCATCTCACAGCCCACCAGGCTGAGGTCTCGTGCCAGCAGTGGCCCATGAGCACAGATCAGGTAAAAAGATCCAGGATCCAACCCCACCCCTTCTGAACCTCCAAATTGCCTTACTGCTCACCTCATTTGCTGGACACCTTGTCTGCTTGTTGGTAATCCCCAACCCAGCAGGTCCCTGACTCACGACCCTAGGTCCTGGGGCCCCTGAGACGTCTGGGGCCCCCTCACAACTCTGCCCCTCTACTTGGGAGTCGGGGGTGGGAGAGGATGAGGGGGTTGGCTCTCCGATGCAGCCACTTCTTCCCAGGAGAGAAATGGGAGGGAGGCAGAGGGGGAGGAAGGGCGGCGAGCAAGGGAGGGGGTAATGGCTCAGCCACTAATTGCACCATTACCACCTTCAGAAAAAGGAAAAACCACTCAGTTTTGTTTCTGTGCACAATATGCTTTCCGCTTCTGCCGCCAACGTTGCAATTCAGAGGCAGAGAAGAGAGGCCTGTGCTCAGGGGCTGCACAGCCAGTGGGCAGCGGGTAGAGCACAGAACACCCCTAGAGGCTAGAGGCGTATGCGGGGAAGTGGAGGAAGGGCTGTCCCCCCACCTCCCTGCCCCAGACCCTCTAAGCCTGCCCCCAGGAGGGGATGGCTTCCACACATAAAAGCTTAGTGACCACTGAAGCCACCTCAGTCACTGCCCAGGGGAGAGGAGTGGCAGTGTTGTGCAGTGGTTAGAGTGCCTTCATGACCTACAGGCTGTGTGATTTTGGATGAGTATCCTAACATCTCTGTGCCTTGGTTTCTTCATCTGCAAAATAGAGTTAATAATATTCCCAACCGCCAGGGCTGTTCTAAGGATTAAATGAGATGAGCACAGGGGCTGACACACTGTAAATGCTCAATTATTATTATTGAGGGACTCAAAAATCCCTCCCTCTTCCCACCACTCTCTGAATTTTGGAAGTACACACCACTATCTTCAAGTCCCAGGACATTCTCTGAGTCCCCACTGGAATCGAGCTTGCGGTTTGAACATCACCTTGCCCGGACCTGGTTTGCAGCAATGCCTGTGGAACAAAGGGCTGGGGCTACAGGGAGAGGGGTCACGAGGCCTCCAGCTCATCAGGTGTCAACACAACGCTGCTTTAGAAATTAACAAGTAAAACATAAGGCAAATATGCCCAGAGGCTGTATTAATGGGAATCTAATGTTCTGAGCAAAGGAGGTGATAGCCCTGCTTGGCTTGGAGCTCACTGACCGCTTCACTGATGACATGGAGCATGTTCAGAAGAGAGCAGAGCACATGGGGGGAGCTCCGGCCATCAGGTCACAGGAAGAGCCAGCGGTGACTCAGAGGAGTCCTTGAAGGGGCGGAGGCGTAGACGGCCAGCTCTCTCCCTGTCTCTGATGGGGACCACGAAGGTGGCCTATGTGGCTTCAGAGGGCAAGACCAACCCAGCCCCATCCACCCATCACCCCAGTCACCCGTCTCTCTTCTCCCTGAGTTCCACCTACCTTTTCAGCTCTCCTTTCTCCTCTCCTTCCTCTCTCTCACTTTTCCCCGTTTTCTTCCTTCCCTCCATCGTGCCCTTCCTTCTCAGTCCTACCTATCCTTCCTAGTCCATTTCACCCCCATTCTTGTTTCTATCTCCCTTCCTTTCTGTCTTGGTATCTGTCACCCTTCTCTCCCTCCGCGTGCTGGTCTGGACCCTGTGCACACAGTGCTGGGGGATGGGCAGGACCCAGGCTGCAGGATCCTGCTGGTGGAGAGATGGCCGCAGAGGAGGGAGAAGAGGAAAAGGTCTCATCGGCAACTCCAACGCACGCGCACATACACACCTCTGAACCTTTGAGAACCTAGCGCAGGGTGTGGGCACTGCCTCAGACGGGCACCCCCATCCTGAGTGTAACTGCCACCCTGCCGAAGAGGCACGGCCGCTAATTCACTGCCTCCCCTGTGCCCGCGAGGCTGAGGCTGGCAGCTGTGCCCGGCGGTGGCGGGCAGCGAGGAGCCAGCCCTGCCTCCGTGGCGCTCAGAGAATGAGCGATGATTGCATCAGGGGGACTGTTCCTGCCAGACTCCCCACTCCCTAGGGCCATGGCAGGCATGCAAGCCAGCACGTGTGCCCCCATCTGCAACATGTGTGTGGTACCCAAGAGCCGGCCTGCATGCCACAGGCTGGTGGGCAGGGGTGGGGGCCCTGGAGGTGGCTGAGCATGGCCCTGTACCATAGGCTATACCCCACGTAGACACGGAGGGACACACGGGCCCAGGGCCAAGTTCCTGGGCCATGGCAGGGGAGTGGGTGAGTGACTGTAGCCCCAGTAGCATTGTGACAGCTGACTCAAATCCCACCTTCCACAGCCCACACACATGCTCGCATGCACGTGCCCGAGTGCCCCAGGGTCCTGCAGGTCCTGGGCAGGCGCCACAGAAAACGTGCCATCCGAAGGGTCCCCACAGGCCTGTCCCACTAAGGGCAGTGAGCGTGGGGAGCAGAATCGGTGGAAAGTGGGTCAAGAGAGAACTGATCCTGCAGAGGGGCTAGGTGGAGGGTGATTTGGTTAACTAATTGCAATAAGTAATGCCAGGCTTGCACCCTGAAGGGAGAGAAGTCAGGGGTCAGGGAGCACCACACAGGAGGCACTGGAAGCAGGGAGCCAAGGGGCAGAGGACAACGGCTGCTGGGCCAGCATCTGCACAGCACAACCTGCAGCGGGAGGACCCCGGTTCAAGTTCTGCCATCGGCTCTGAGTACTTACAGCAGGTCTTTCTCCAGCTGGGGCCTCCACTTCCTCCTGAGAAATATGGGGACAAGATGTTCCTTCACTCACTCCAAGGACATGAGAAATAGTTATTTCCACTTTAGAGCCAGGCCCTGTGCTGAGCGCTATTTATACATTTGTCCACAACAAATGTGCGTGGACAGGTACAACGTTGCCCGTTTTGCAGAGATGTGATGTGTCTTACCCATCTAGAGTCTGTGACTTCAGCATCCCCACCCTGTGTTCTTTGGCCTCCCTAAGGGCTGGAAGGGCCCTAAGAGAGCCCATGCCCCTTACAGATGGGGGACTGAGGCCCAGAGAGAGGATGCTGCCCTCCCGCAGTCGCACAAGTCAGGGGCAGAGTCAGTATGACAATCTGGAACTCCTGACTCCCAGAACAGTGCTCCTTCCCTTACCCTGTGCTGCCCTCCCTCTTTATGGCACTGCACGGCTACTTGCCTAGGTCCCAAGGTAGCCAGCAGGCACCAAGTGAGAGGAGGAAATGGTGCCAAGGCCTAGGGTAGAGCTCAGAGCCCTGCCCCTCCAGCCAGGTCTGGGGTGCTCTCCTGGCTCCTGGGGGACTGCTCATCCCTGCCCAGGACTCCACAGGCAGGTCCCAGCTCAGGCAGGGCTGCCCGTGGCTCCAACCCATCTGGCTGACAGATCTGCTGCCATCTGGCCCAGCCAATGGGGAAAGAGGGGGCCTGGCTGGCATCTCTGGGCTCCACTCCCCCAGATCTATGACCCAAGAGGCCAGAGCTGCCTCTGGTCTGCCCTGCCTCTCACCCTTCCCCACCATAGATGGTGAAAGCATCTGCCTGGCACTGCCAGTCAGGGGTCTGACACAGAGTCCAGACTCAGGTGCCCCAGCTGGGAGGCATGGAGGGGCCACAGGAGGTAGGTGGGAGCCACGCTGATGGCTGGGCAGAGCAGAAGCCACAGCAAGCAGGCTGAGCCCCTCATCACCACACCCTGAGTCCTCGTCGCTCCTCATCCAGAGACCCTCCACCTGTCTCGGGCCCGGGCCAGCTGCCAGCACCCTGGTTAGGCAGGCTTGGGGACTGCTGGGTGTGGACCGGGTCACGGGCTGAAGCTTGAGTGGGGCTCCTGGGCTGTTTGCTGGGTTCTGGGTTAGGTAGGACTCTGAGCCAGGCGAGTGCTAGGCCGGGTGTGAGATTAGAGTGAGCCTCCTTCTCAGGGCATCAGGAGAAGGTGCCAGCCCCCAGCCCCAGCTGGACCCTCTAGGTTTGGGGCCAGGTTGGCCACAAAGGGTTGCCTTGGTGCCTAGGGGAGAGCAGTGCACCTGTGGCCCCAAAGGCTGGGGCCCAAGAAGAAAAGCAGGGCTGGAGCCGGAGGCTGGGCCACCCTGCTCAGAGCTGACTCAGCAGGCGTGGGCGAGGCCTCTGTGCAACTGGTACTGGCCTAGAGCTGCAGGGGAGCCCGGCTCCATGCTGCTCTGGAAGGACCCAGCCCACCCAACTGGGACAAGCACCTGGCAGACCTGCAGTATCCTGGGTAATGGGCAGACCACAACCCACCCCTGACGTATGCCAGGCCTGGGACGTCGTCCCAGTAGGCAACTTCCTCCGAGTCTCCCTCCTGAGCAGGCAGAAGTGCTGGCAGTGGCTGGAATCCAGAGGCCTCAGCCAGTCGTGGCCCCTGCCCCACCATGGCCTGGGCATCAACATCCTCGAGTAAGAGGAAGGTTCCCGCTGGGGAAAGCCATAAGAGATAAGAGAGCAGCGCTGGGAGGAAGGGGCCTAAGACACAGATGGTCACCTCCGCCCTGTGCCCCAGGTCAGATGCTCACTCCAGGGCTGAGCCACCTCTGCAGTGGAGATGCAGCTCTGTAACCAGTACTTGAACCCCGCTCCACTGCACCGCACCCACCCCACCCCACCCCACCCGTCCCGCTCATCCCCAAGCTGACGAGTCCTAACAGGCCTCCTTTGCCAGCGACAAAAATAACTATTTTCAAAATTCACAGCAGGGCTTTCGCCTACACACGCTGCGCCGGCTGGAACCTGAAGGGAGATATGCAGAACGCAGTGTGCGGATGGAGGCACGCTATGCAGCAAGCAAGCTTCGAAACCCCCATGCCCTTCCTCCCCACCACTCAGCCCATGCCCCGCCACACACACACACAGCGGTACCCAGAATGGCCAAATGGGAATGGCTCTGAGATCATCCAGTGTACACAGGGCGACATAGGCCCAGAGAGAGTCTGGGGTTGGCCTGAGGTCACACGGTGGATCTGCGGCAGGGCTGGACCAGAACCCATACGTTCCACCTCCTGGCCAGGCTGCCTACCTCCACTCCCATTCACTTGGCCACTGGTCAGCTCACATCTGCCCCCAGTACGCACGTGCACACACCCACGTGTGCTCACGGACAGCAGCGCAGCCCTCCCTTCTGTTAGTGCACTTTAATCAAGTTCATGTGCTCCTCCACAACCGTTATCTTGGCCAGTCCTCTGCAGCCCTGTGAGGTAGGTGGAGCCAGGCTAGCATCCCCATTTGCAGATGGAGAAGTCAAAGCCCAGACTGGAAGGACTGGGTAGAAGGTCAAAGCAGAACCCAGGTGTCCTGACTGTTGGTTCAGGGGTTCTTTTCACAGATGTTTCCACCACCCTTGATCCTGCAGCAGCTAACAGCCGGGCCAATTCCTCTGGGTGCTGGAGGCAGGAAGGAGAGCTCTCCACCACAGTGCCCACCACCAGTCTGGCTCCAGGATTGGCCCAGGCCACGTGAGGACCCAGGAAGGTCACCTCCTGATCCCTGCACCTCCACACTCAGCACTTAGGGATCTCTTCAGAGAGCAGCCAGATTGCCATGCCTCGACTAGGGTCCAGGCTGGAGTTGCCTGTGTGGCCCCTCATCCAAGCAGTACCACAGAGGTCCAGGGTTCAAGGGCAAGGCGTTAAATGAGCTGGAAGGTGGCAAGGTCGGCTGGGAACTCCACCATGGCCCTAGGCACCAGGTCCACACCACAGAGCCACAAAAAAATTGGAGCTCATTTTACAGATGAGGAAACTGAGGCCCAGAGAGCTCATGCTAGTCACCCGAGGTCACAGAGCAAGTCAGTGGAGAGGCAGGACTGGGACCCAGGCATCCTAGTCTAGTTTATTCCCCCCAACCCACAAGCCAAGCTCCCCATCCTTCAACTGAGGGGCTCTCCACCCTCCATTTCCCTGCAGATGGGGACCTGACCTCAGGCTCCTGCCTGGGGAGGATCAGGGCCAGGCTTGATGAGGGAAGTACATCTAAGGGTACAGAGATCCTCGTCTCCCCCACATCAGATCCGGTGGGACATCAGCCTGGTGTTGAGTTTACGGAAAAATGATCGCAGCTTGCAAATCTTGCATTTTTTCTTGCGGCGCCCCCGGGAGAAGCTGCGAGCCCTGCCCTCCTCCTCCTCTTCCTCTTCATCTTCATCAGTGGCCCACGGCCCCCAAGCACCTCCATTAAAGTCGGGATGGGCCCGGGGATTCTCAGCCGGGTAGCGCACAGGGATGGCTGTGCGGTTATAGTCCACCAGGCGGGCCAGCAGGGCGCGAACCACGTCGGGCCGCTGGTCAGCCAGGTCTTCCCTTTCGTAGGGGTCAGCACTGATGTTGAAGAGCCACACGGCCTGGCGGGCACTGGCCATCCGCTCCAGGTTCCACCAGCTTCCGGGGAAGGCCGCCAGTGTCTGCGGCGGGATCCAGTCACCATAGCCGGGGTCTCCGGTCAGCAGCTTCCACTCGCCCACGCGGATGGCGGCCTGCACAGCGGTGTTCCAGATGCCGAAGCCACCCTCCAGGGAGCCATGCCGGGCGTGGTTATAGAGCGGGTCAATGTTGTGCAGGATCTCAGTGCGTGGCGAGGCCCGGCCCTCGCTGATGGCCGGCCACACATCATAGCCATCTAGCCCATCAGCTGCCGAGGCGGTGCCACCTGCCAGACCTACCAGGGTCGGGTACCAGTCCGTGATGTGCACCAGCGCCCGACTTGTCCGTCGCTTTCGCTTGAGCAGGGGGCTATGGACGAAGCCCAGGCCCCGCACGCCACCTTCCCAGTAAGTGCCCTTGCGTCCTCGAAGTGGCCAGTTGCTGCCCCCTGAGAAGGTCTGGCCACCATTGTCACTGGAAAAGATGATGACACTGTTGTTGTAGAAACCATAGCGCTTGAGGGCCCAGGTGATGTTGCGCACAGCCTCATCCATGCAGGTCACCATGGCTGCGTACTTGCGCCGGGCCACGTTGCCCATGGTGCGGTAACGGTACAGGTACTGGCGAGGGGACTGCAGGGGCGTGTGTACCGCCTGGAAGGCCACGTAGAGGAAGAGGGGCCGCCGGGGGCTGTGGTTGGCCAGGATGTGGCTCACGCGCTGGGCGTAGAGCATAGTGGAGTACTGGCCGCTGAGCCCCCAGGCCACACTCTCACCCTCGTGCAGGTCAAAGCCGCACACCCCCGGGCCATCACAGTTGTCATAGGTGTAGTAGTCCACATTGCCCGTGAGCGAGCCCAGGAAGGTGTCGAAGCCCCGACGGGTGGGCAGGCACTCTTTCCGGTAGAAGCCCAGGTGCCACTTGCCCACCATGTGGGTGGAGTACCCTGCTTCCTGCAGCTTTTGGGGCAGCGTCACCTGGTCCAGGGGCAGGCAGTTGGGCTGCCGTGGGCGGATGATGGAGTGCTGGAGGCCTGTGTGGATCTGGTACCTGGTGGGAGCAGGGGGGCACATCTGAATTATCTCACTAAATCCTCACCGCAACCTAGGGGGTGCATATCATTATTATTCCCATTTCCCAAATAGGGAAGCTGGGCCTCAGTAAATTAAATCACTTGCCCAGTGATTCACACGATTAGTAAATGGAGTTGGGATTTTCCAGACTTCAGAGTCCCTCATTTCTAAAGCACTAACTTGCCTAGAGCAAGTCCTGCTCTCCCAGGCAAACTCCTACTCACTCCTCAAAGCCTGGCCCAAATGTTACCCCCACTGTAAAGTCTCTCATTACTCTTCCAAAGAATGAGCCACTTTCGTTTTTGGGTTTCCCCAGCAATTAGTACACACCATCACTGTCCTCCTTAGCCATGGGATTCTACTCAGTTGTACATGCCCTTGGGCCCACTGATATGTAAGGGGACTGCCTCTTACTCAACCTTTTATTCCTAGCACTCAAGAGATGTTCAAAGGACACTTAATTACTTATGGAATGAACAAATGAAGAATGCCACTCCGAGAATTTTAGAGCCAGAAGAGACCCAAGTCATTGTCTAGTTTATTCACTTCGTCTTAAACAGAAACTAGTGTCCAGAGGAGAGGAAGGGCGTTGCCCAAGGTCATTTAGGGGTCAGGGGCAGAACCAGGACTTGAACATAAATCCAAGCAGAATCCAAGCACAGACTGTTTGCTGGCAAACTAGCCTGCCACTTCTCTTCCTGGGGTCGGGGGTGCTCAGTTTGCTCGTGTGTAGGAGTGAGTGAGTGAGGATGGGAGATCTCTAAAAAGCTTCCAGTTCCCAGATTTTATGAGACCAGTTGTTATGTGCCTGTCCATAAGTTCATGTGGCCCCTGGATCCGGGTCACTCACACAGGCTAATGCCTGAGGCAGGAGCAAATGGTTAGCAGAATCCTGCCTTCCTCAGTTACCCATTCATATCCCATTCCCCTTCTGTGGTCAAGGCCCCATGTGATCTGCTTATGGTGTCTTGCCTTTACTCAAGTCTTAAAAGTCCCAGAGTAAATAAGAAGCCTGGAGCTTCATAAGTGTATTAGAATCCAGCACCTTTTTCTCACCCCCGGGAGCATTCAAGTGAAGCTGAGACCTGAATACCTGACACCTCTAACCCCAGCCGGGTCAGGTGTTTCTGTTTTGGATTCCTTATCATAATCTGTTATTGTTGCTAGCTATCATTAGCTACTACTGCTATTTTTAATACCATATGCCACACATATTATTTCATTTACGTCTCATAAAAAACCTATAGGGAAGATTATTATTATCCCCATTCTACAGATGATGAAACTGAGGCTCCCAAAAGGGCAGCAACTGGCCCAAGTTCAGATAGCTGGCAAGCAGAGGAGCCGAGCTTTGAACCCAGGACTATGCAACTCATGCTCAAAATCTCTCATTTTTGTGGCCTCTGCAGACCTCAGTCAAGCTAATGAACGATTAGATTTGATACAAGAACGATTACATTCGATTATCCTAGGTCCTGAGTCGCAGCAGAGCCTCTGTTCATAGGCGCTGGGCGCCACAGAATGCTGGTTTGTAAAGTGGGTGGGCCAGCTCAGAGTCAGTGAAGCCTGTCTGCAAGTGAGTAACATGAGAAACTTTGGCCCTCTCCAGCTCCACCAAACACGGCTGGATGCATTAACAAACACTAATGAGAGCAGTCAGCATCAGTCAGATGGAGCCAGCTGCAGGGGGCGGAGGGCAGACGCTGCCCAGCCACGCTCAGCTAACTCTGCAGATCAGGGGGCTGGAACGCTGCCCTGCTGGCTGCTCATTCCCCTGCTTAAACCAAAAGTCACCTCTCGGGAGAGAAATGCTAACTTGTGCACAACTCTCGGGAATGCAGATTCCTCCTCCCTCTTCTGGAGGTTAGTCAACACTGGTCTTCACCACCACTACCACCGCCCCCACCCGCAACACATATCGGTCCCTCTTCCTCTTTCTCCTGTTCTCTCTCTGTTCCTGGATCTAAACGCTGAGCACCGGATGGAAGGAAGAAAAGGCACCTATTTGACTTCCAGCTCCAGGACCCCTGCCAAGCACCTGGCCTCTCAGGCCCCTCTCCTACAGACCCTGAAGTTGGGTCCAGGCATGAGTTGGGCCCTCCCTGACTCCATGCCTCAGTTTCTCTCATGCAGGAAACAGGGAGACTAAGGCTTTGGTTCCTGAGCTCACACTAGTAGCTTTTGAATGGAACCTGGGAGAAGGCATGCCTTGGACCCCATCCAGGAAGGATTAGCTTCAGCCTCGCCAAAGGATTTTCTCCTAAGTGGCCAGAGTTTGCCTTCTACACCCCCACCTCCCGTTTCCTTGCTCTTTTAATCCTGTAATCCTGCCGCCTTGCCTGTGGACAACTCCTTATGGAGAAAGAAGCATGTCTCCCTAGGGCTCCCAGCCAACTTGGCAGGATTTTGAAGACGAAAAAACAGAGGCTTGGAGAAATGAAGTAACTAGCCTAAGGCTACACAGGTCACAGCATCCTGTGTGTGTCTTTCGTCTGCACCAATTCCTTGGTTTCTTCCCAATGTAGTCATCAAATACTATGGGGACCCTAATCCCTCCGGTGACATAGAGGCTGCCATTTATTGACAGTCTAGCAGGTTACATGCAAATCATTCCGTCCTCACTCCTTTTCAGGATTAAAAACTGTTCTTCACCCCATTTTATGGACAAGAAAACTGAGGCTTAGAGAAGTTAAGTGATTTGCTCAGGGCCTCAGGGTGTGTGAACAGAAGCAGCATTCAAACCTAAGTGTCAGAGGCTGCTGCGTTCCTCCAACAAGGGGGTGACCAGATGTCTCCTTCTCATGGTGTGGAGTGTGAGTGTCCTAGAACATCAAAGGGAGAAGATCTCAAAGATGATCCAATCGATTCAGTGTGCAGGTAGGGAAACTGAGGCCGAGAAAGGACAAAGGACTTACTAATCATCACACAGCAAATTGGGGATTGAACTGGCACCGAGCCCTGGTTTCCCAGGTCCCAACAGGGGAGTGTAATTACGGGGGAAATCTCCCGACTCGGTTTATTTGGGGCTTGGACGGCCAGCCCCAGTGGCCTGGGCCATTCCTACCTGCCGGTGAGAAGTTGGCTCCGTGAAGGCGTGCAGATGGGCTGGATATAATAATTCTCCAACTTGACACCCTCGGCCGCCAGCCGGTCTAGCGTAGGGGTCTCGATATCTGAGCCATGGTAGCCCACGTCGTGGTAGCCCTGGTCGTCGGTGAGGATAAAGATGATGTGGGGAGGCTGGGGTGGAGCGGCCGAGGGCTGCTCGCTAGCCTCCCCGGGCCCGTCGGCTCCCAGGCTCGGCTTGGCCCAGTCCCAGGACAGATAGCCCAAGCTGAGCAGGCTGATCAGAGAGACGCCGGTGAGGGCGTGCATCGCCATGCCGGCCCGCGCGTCCCGGCGCGCAGGGCTCCCAGGGCCTCACCGCCTCGCGCGCCCAGGGCGCACGGCCCGCACGCACGCCGGCCGGCCGGCCTGGACGCTACGAGAGCGCTCAGCGCCCCAGGGGATGGCCCAGCTTCTGGTCCCGGACTGGCGGCCGGACGGCAAGGCCGGCACTGCGCGGCCGCAGCGGGGCGCTCTGGGGAGGTCAGGACCGCGCGGAGCTGCCTCCCGCCGCCTGAGCGCCCGCCCTGCGCCGCCCTGGCTCCCTCTCCCCCAGCTTAGCCAGGCCAGCCTGAGACTCGGCGTGGCGGCTTCCAAAAAGTGCTCTCCACCATCCTCTGACTCTCCTCTTCCTTCTAGTCCTCGATTTCTCCCGCCTCCTAATTTCTCTCGCCTTGCTTCCCCTTTCTCCTCCCCTCGACCCTCCAGCCCCTGGCCCGGCCTCTCGCCCCGCCCGGAGTCCTGAGAACAGTCGGACTCCCCGCAGGGAAGTGGGCAGGACCCCAGTGGAGAAGGGGAGGGAGGCACGGGTTGGGCGCGCCTGGGGGACACCGCTGGAGAGAATGCGAAAAAATTGTAACATCTGCCGGGGCCGAGCCCCAGGTGGAGGGGTGGGACAGCTAGCGGGCTCCGCCCCCCGGGCGGGAAGCCCGGGCAGGCACGGCCCTCTGGCTCCAGCCTCCGCCCTGGCTCAGACCGGGCAAAGGAGAGAGCGGGGCTGCTTGACTTCGATGGAACAGCTCGGGAATGGCCCGGTCAGACATTCCTCGACCTTGGATTCTTCGCATCTCTGAGTGCCAGCCCTGGAAGGGACGCGCGAATATTCTATTCCAACCAGGTCATTCTACAGTTGGAGAAACTGAGGCCCTGAGATGGGCGGGAACTCGTTTAAGTCACAGAGCAAATTAGTGGCTTCTCCCCTGGGGCTCACTGTGGCTGTTAGAGTGGCAGCTCCCCTCTGTGGGCAGTGGAGAAGGGGGACGACTTTGGCTAGCACCAGGGCTGGAAATCAGGAAACTAGCTAGGTTCCGGCCTTGCCAGCTTCCCTCTCCCAACCCCTGCCCCTCTTTATTCTGCAACCCACAGCTAGAATCTTAGAATGCCAGCGCTAGAATCCAGAGGACAGAGGCTGTGGTATCGTATCCACAGGGTCCTGCAGCTCTGTCAGATCTGGTGCCTGGATGAATGGATGACTGGGCCTCGAGGGTCACCCAGACCAACTCCCACCCAAGGAAATCTCCACAGCAGAGAACTTGGGGGACTCCCAGGACAGGCAAGTATTATAAATGAGTAAAGGAGGGGTCCAGCTGTATTGCCAGAGGAAGAGGGGCTGTGGGGAGCTGAGCGAAAGACCACAGCCTGGAGTCCAGCTGGCCACTGTCATGCAAGAATGTGGACCATTGTTTCCTGATGTTCTGACTTTCCAAGAACACCCAAATCCAGATTATTATGAGAAATATTTCCATTATTAAGTGCTAGCAACTAATCTAAAAAAAAATTTAAGCACTGTGGGGGGCCAATCAAATCTATCTGAGGAATATTTTAGGCCATTGGGTGCCCATTGGCAACTTCTACTCTGCATCATTGTTTTCCAGATTTTTACTGGGCTACATTTTTAAATGAGAAAACTGAGTTAAACACAACCAGTTAGGCTTCTTTACTACCAGCACTTCAAATGTTTAATATGCTGATCTCCAGGAGGGAGGTTGGTAAATCTGTATTTCCCAATTTATGTGACCAAGGACCTTCTTTTTCTCAGAGCTTCTCAAAGGGCCAGTGTTTTGGGAACTTGGGGAAACAAAGACTGCCCAGGTGCGTCTTCTCTCCTAGCATCTTTCCCCTGCCAGTGTTCTGTCGTGATCCCTTCCCTCTTCCTTAAAACCACTGTGTGTTGGGAAAGAAACCAGACCTCCAAAATAGCAGCCCGAGTGAATCTGCATTTTGAAATGAGGACTGCGTGGGGCCGCCGCTCCTGTTTGCTCAAAGCCCCATATTTAGGGTGACCAGATTTATCAGAAGGGAAAACTGAGCCTCTTGTTCTGGCAGAAGAAATGTTAAGGACAGACAGGAAAAATACAGCCTTCTGAGAGGAATGCTGCTAAAACGGTGCTTCTGGAGGCTTCAGCCGGAGGCTGTCCTGGGGTCAAAGTGGGACAAGTCACGGGAGGTCTGATGGACTTGGGGTTTGCGGTCTTTGCATTGTCCCTGACCTTGGTCAGGAGGAACTGGAGAAATGGCAAGGGGGCTGGGGATGGGGATTCAGCCTGGAAGAAAAAAGGTCCAGGGAGGCAAGCTCCCAGGATGCAGATCTCTGTGGGGCTGTCACAGGGACAAGACGAGCAGAATTTCCCAGAGTTCAAGACGGTGGGCTCTGACATCAGACTGCCTGAGTTCAAATCCTGCCATTTATTTGGGGTCAGGCTGTGGGCAAATTATTTTGCCCCCCTCAGCCTCAATGTCTTCATCTGTAAAATGGGATAATAACATAAATGAGATGCAATAGAGTGGTCAGTAAGGTGCCCAGCACATATTCAGCACTCAGCGAATGTGAACGGTTAGGATGATTATTCTCTGTGGTTCTGAGAGAAAAGACTAAGTCCTGCAGGTGAAAGTTACTGGGAGACAGATTTCAGGCCAATTGAAGGGATTACTTATGTGGGAAATCTGGCAGCTTGCTTAATAAAAGGATGGCAGTGATGGGTGAATCACCATGTGGAGAGGAGTGGGTGGACCTCTCGGCCTGACTCTTGTTCCCCAATATTCACATTTCTTTTAAGAGTCCCTCAGTAATCACCAAAACCCACAGTGGCCTCAGAGGGCACCATTACCCCTCTCATGTTCTAGGGAAATAAACACTGACCCTCATCTCTTCCTTTAATGCCCTTACTGGGCCAGGCTGGAACATTTAAGCCAGACATTTCCAAAGGCCCAGGGATGACAAGGGGGAAATAAACACAAAATGTGAATCCAGGTCATATCGCTTTCAAGATGAGGCTCATCCATTCTCCCTTTGTGTTCTCTGCAGGATGCCCACCTGCCTTCTTCCCTGGGACAATGTCCATCAGCCCTACCCCCACGCAGGAAGGCTCTCAAGAACTCCAAGATCTCTCAGGTTCAGGCCCTAGAAGTCAGGCTCAGAGAAACAGAAGTTCCTTCTCCAACTAAGCTAGCCTTTGCAGTGTCTATCTCAGGATCCGCCTGTTTCCAAGGTGATTGAGAGCAGGAATATCCACCCCATACAGGGAAGATTTGGCCCCCTTTCACATAGGTGCATGCTTACCCCATAACCCCCAAAGAACAGCTGCATTAAGGATACCTAAGATCTGCACACGAAATGCAGATCAGATGTGTATCAGGTGCAGATCAGGGGTGTAATGTTGATACTTCCTGTCAGAGATTTCCATTGATGAAATCAGACTTCAAAAAGCACTGAGCTCTTGGGGGCTGGCCCAGTGGCATAGTGGTTAAGTTTGCACGCTCCCCTTCCGTGGCCCAGGGTTTGTGGGTTTGGATCCCAGGCGTGGATCTACACCACTCATCAAACCATGCTGTGACAGCATCCCACATACAAAAAATAGAGGAAGATGGGCACAGATGTTAGCTCAGGGCCAATCTTCCTCACCAAAAAAAAAAGCACTGAGCTCCTCATTACTGGAACTATGCAAGAAGGGGATAAAATGCCCATCATCCAGGAGGTAATAGGAGAGATTCTTGAGCTAAAATGAGGAGCAAAGCTAACAGACTTTGAAAGTTTTTCCAACTTGAAAATGTTATGATTCTAATTATTTATCCCCAGAAAACTTTAGGATGTGGAGATTAAAACGTGGAAAATGGGGTAAGTCTGTTTTGTGGCTTTGTCTTTCATTGCTACATACGGTGTGTGTGTGCATGTGTGTGTGTGTGTAGGTATGTATGTATGTTTGACCATCTTTGAACTAAAATTATCTTAGTACAGTTAGTATTTCTGACTTAATTGACCTTGGCAAAGATGCACAGATTATGCATGTGTCATCCTCTAGAGGTCAATTTGTCTAGGCTGGACCAAATCAAGGACCTAAAAGAAAACACAGAAGGCCTCTGCATAGTCAAAAATGTCACAGAGTTCCATGCCTTAACTCAGAGGAGAGCTCCTCAACGTACTCACTCCAGGCCCACTGACTCTGACTTCATACACAATCTTACAAGACTAAGGATTTCGTTTCCCACCCCAAGAAGATTGGAAGCAGCTCAGAGGGAACATATAAGAAGGCGGCTTGAGGCAATTGCCTGTTTTATAGTAATATAGTTTCACAGTGAAAACATTAAGGAGAAACAAAAGAACAAACATAAAAATCAGACTGATGAATTTCAAAAGCCCAGGAGTTTGGGGCCATTTGGTGCAAAGGAGCAAAGAGCTATATCCACCTGAACAGACCCAAAGGCATCACCAAATCACAGCCCAGCACAGAAGTGAACGATGGGTCGCCCTCCAGAGTTTAAATTCTGTTCTGGATCCTCTTTTTAAGAAAGCTGGGGAAGGCATCAACTATTTTTTAAGGTTTTCATCCACATGGTTACTACAACAAGTTCACGGTGTAAGCTTCAGTGTAGAACATCCTCCTTGAAGGCGCAGGCTCAGGAGGCAGTAACGTCTGCAGTGGGTTCCCCGGTGATGAGGATGCTGCACCTCTGTGATGTGGAGGTCAGACTCAGCGCGCTACTCGGAGGCAGGCCTGGCTCATCCAACTCCTGCCTGCTCTTTCCAGCCCACAGATGCCGGCATTAAGTTCCCTGCACTTCAAGTCCCATAAGCCTCTGTAGCTTGAAAGGGCAAGTGGCACTCGGGAAAGAAGCACACTGAGTGGGAGCACAGAATTCCGGTTCTGGTGCCCTTTTCGACGGTTAGGCCACATCCTCCTAATGAGCAGCCTCTCGACTGAAAAAGCCCTCCTCAAGAGAAAATTCCACAGGTTCCCTTGGTCGCCTAGTCTGGTGGCCACTGATTCTCACTTTAACTCCCACGCTCTCGACTAGCGCATCGTTAATTATAATTAATGATCAATGGTAAGGTTGGAGGTGTTTAAGAAAGCCATGCTGGCTGCATTATGGAGAATGTATTTCCGGGGCCTCAGTTAAGGGTCCATGTGAGAAGTCCAGGTGGAGACACACCCACCCAGATGAGCTGTTCTCCCCCAGAGGCAGGCTGAGGGTCATCTGAGGCCCAGTGCTTGCTGGATATTATTCGGGCAAAATCGTTCTGGGAAGAAAAGCATTTTTCTCCTTGATGCTGGGGCACCCCCTTTAGCATCTCCGGGAGAGATGCACATCCCCCTGACCCTTGCTTCTGGCCCTCTTGGTGGTCTCGCTGAGTGCCCCTTGTCTTGGTGTCAGGATCCCCATATCAGACATCTGAGCCAGGAGTGGTAAGAGACTGGGCACCCATAGCCCCTGCCTTTAACCCTTCAAGGGCCCCGGCCCTGGGCATTTCAATGGCTCCTTTCTCTGGCGCTCAATGAAACATTCTTCCAAGTAGATTATTGAAAGCAGAGCTCTGGGTACACAATGGGCGC